AGTAATTCCCAGTAAATTTACATTCCCGGAACTTTTTGCTTCTGTCTGATCATTTAAACAGCTCCCTTGAGGAGAGCATCTTTCTCAGGGATATTTTGTAAAACATTAATTTATTAAATGACTGTAACTTATATATTGTATAAAAGATGAAATTAATCCCATTTTTATAGCTATTTATATTTTACAGTATTATATGTATATTACAGCACAAATCAGATCTGATATATACCTTTTTATTTTTATTACAAAGCTTGTATGTATATTTTGTTTTATTTCACACATCTTAAAATCAAGATTATCGAATCGAGATATTTCATACTTTTTCAATAAAGACTTATGTTTTTTATTCATTTTAAGTATTATTTTTTTATTAATAATTTTGCGAACATTTCATGCTTCTGTTCCATTATTAATTGATTTTATATAAAATGCATATCTAACTAAATAGACCGTAAAAGGATTTGCAGATTTTTTAACATATCCAAATAAGTGAAGTTAATAATCTAACAGTAAAGGGCAGCAAATTCAAGCGGATATTGCAGTGGATTAATATCAAATGTATTCGCATTGAACTTCTTTTCTTTGTTAACAGAGCTTACAAACATAAGACGATTTATCTGCATTCTATAAATTTTGTTCGATTTCTGTCATATTTTGTCAGCGAGTTCTGCTGTATTTCTGCTGATGTAATATGCCAATAATATTGTATACAAATCTTGCATTAAATCTATACTTTCTGTTAAAATCTACAGTGGACACTTTTTTTTTAAGACCTGTTCTCAACTTGGTCTAGATAAAAAAAAATGAGATCTTTGTAGTTACAATGGAAATCGTACATTTCGTGAACATATTTAAAACATAATTATTTTTCTTATCCAAGGATTGAGAACGAAGTAATAATAAAAAAAATTGCTCTAAAGAGACTTGATTTCCATCGTGACTATATCTAAGTCATTTTTTACATTTTGACAACTTCAAATGTCTCGTTCAATTTATTTACATATAGTTTCTGTGTGTCTAGTGCAAGGAATAATAACTGACGATAGAAAACTGAGTATACAAAAATTCGAAGCATCTAATTTTTGCCGCGTATCCACGCGGAATATAAATATTATTTGCCTGATGTATAATCGCGACGCATCCAAGACTGTGTCGCACGCATGAGCTGTGCGAACTTTTAAAAAAAATATGCAGCTGTGAATCAAAATCGTTAATGATATTTCACTGGATGAGATGAATGTTAATGTACCTTCTGCGAATAAAGGGTTGCCAATCCTTGACCCTAAATGATGTATGTACCATAATAATAAATGTCTAAACTTACGAAAAGCAAATAAACTTATTTTCGCAAACAATTCGTCGAAAAAAAAATTATTTTTATATAGAAATATTAGCAAATATCACAAGTATAATGGATAAAGACCGTGATGTAGTCGGTATCCCTCTGCACAACCTATAGCTCGAATTACGTTAATGCTTTCGTAATTTGAAAAAGAAATTCGCAGTTACACTTTAATAAAATACATTAAGTTAACGTTCTGTATAGCTATAAGTATATATAGACGTTGCGCTATTTCACCCTGCGGGCAAGTGTGTTAATACAATTTAATTACAATAATTCTCAATTTATTCCACTCGCTCTTTAGATTTTCATCATTGACAATATGCCATGAAAAAAGTCTTAATATCTGCATACCTAGGATCATGATACATATACTTAAAAATTCTAAAAACACACTCTCTCTCTCTCTCTCTCTCTCTCTCTCTCTCTTGCACTCTCTTTCTCTCTCTCTCTCTCTCTCATTTATTTTTATACATATTGAGTTTAAAATCTCGAGATGATCGTGACTATTGTGAACGCTTATAATTACAGGATCTACAACTCTTCCTGACCCTTATTGAGGGCACTAAAGTTAAGATTCACATAAGCACCACTTGTAGCTTACGTTTATTATTCGTTTATATATATGTATATATAAACGAATTTTATTTATATATATGTATATATATATATAAATAAAATTTAATGAAAAAAACTATACATATAGTTCTTTTTCTTTAAATCTTATTACACCATAAGTATTCTTACTGCTGCTTTCATATTGCACGAACATATCAAGCGTTTTCTCTCAACTCGTTCCCATTAGCAATAGAAATTTGATAAACAAATTTATTCGATGAATTAATCACTATTAAGTTAGTCGGCATATGTTAATCTTCAAATCCAATTTCGGCCCAAAGATAATTAAAGTCATTTCCACTTTGCATAGAAAAAAATTGTATTCTTAAATTTAATTTTGTTAAAAATATTGATTTTTTTTTTAAGCAATCATGCTAATCGTGCGAATTAGTATATTCTCAAAAAGAAATTAGCAGATTTGTATTTCCATAATTTCAAATATTCTATCTAGGACACGCAGAGTTGACATAATTATATTATCGCGCAAAGACATTTGAATCGCTATATGACTATGATAGAATTTTACATATATTGTTATAAAATTTTCTGGCTTATGTCTACTGTAAAAGTTGAACTTTTGCTAAAATGCATTACTATCTATGTGCTCGCAAAAATTTTGTACATTTCTTTGTATATTACATCTTACTGTATGTATGTGAAGCTGATTTCTTTTTGTATATAACCATTACAATTTATAATGATCTTAATATGTATATGTTTATATATATATATATATATATATATATATATATATATTATAATAGTGGACATATCTTTTATTTTCTCTACATTTACAACATTCTTACTAGTTTGTAAAAAATAAATTGTTCTTAATATTTTCAGTTACAAGACCAAAAAATATTGGTATTAATAATGCAATAAAAACATTTTTTAAAATATAATTTCATGTACGTTCTCTATGTCTAAAATCTTAAATGATGTTTGTGACACCACAGCGAAGCAATATGCCTCGTTTTGAAAACCAGCACAGACAGTAACGCATCTAGCATAGGCTAATAATTACAAAATAATTTTATTAACATTTTTTTATGCTATATTCATATATCTTTTAAAAGATATATAAAAAGCCAGACTCTAAATGCGACCAGAATGATAGTATGTTACAAAGGTATACATGTACAGAATAAAAATAGGGAATTACACTCGAGACCTTAAATAAATAGTCTGATACGTATATATCAATGAAAGTGAGTGAGTGAATGTGTACGTTGTTTTTATTTTATTTTTATTGTTGTATCGTTGCCCTGATCATGCCAGATAGCTATAAGTGTCCTTTTGACCTTCTGTGCGCTCCAAATATTCTTTTTCAATTAAAATATCTATACATTTCTGCAACAAGAATATCCAGTGTTAAAATGTTGGTACTATTGTTATGTAATTTTTATATTTGCTTAAATCATAATAATATTGTTTCAAAAATGTTTAAAAATATGGCTATACATATATATAAAATAATATATTGAAAACAGAAAATTTTTTTTTTTTTAATAAATAAACTCACCTTAATGACATGTACTCTCGGCTTGAATCTAGAGCTTAATTGATTCAATACTTCTGCTACCAACTGTTGATGCTTCAATACTTTCCGCATTTTCATAATTCTAACAATTGCTGCTTGAATTAAAAGTTTCCTATCCTCTTCTATGTGTTTGTGCGTAGTCTCCTGTTCAACTTTCAATTCCGTCTTCATTGGAATATTAATGTTTACCCTTAATTTCTTGCTGTTAAACGATAATAAATATTGTTACATCAACTGCTAATAAGTATAGTTAGATATATACATATAAAAGTGGCATACTTCTTGTATCCTGTAAAAAGTTCTACCGTCGATAACGGGGTCAGTTCAGCCACATCGTCGCTAGCTGCGGTTAAAAGCTTGGCTTTCAAAAGTATTTGAATAACCTGCGCGAAGAAACTTTTTAGTATTTTTTTATATTGTTTACAGCCGATTAGATTACACAGGATTGCCACAAAAAATGAATTTTGAAATTCCCTGGCTTTTCCATTATGTCCAGACAACAGTGGAAAATTTTCCATGATCAGTATCAAATATATAATTCTAAATTTTAATGTTTAGAAGATACATATTACAAGAGAGGTAACTTATATTATTAGAAGCAACATAAATGTAGAAGTTTAATAACATGATATAATCCCAAATGCAAATTCAGACTAACAAATTATTAACATCGCTTTGACATTGATGTTATGTATTAAACTACAGAAAAAAATTTCTTTGGCTGAATTTTTCGCGGGGATTTTGCTTGGGGACCAGACAAAATCTCAGTGATAAAAGCAAAAAAATGTCTAAAGACATTTCTTTAATATCGCTAAATATTCGGAATATTTTCGATTACAATAGCAGAGAGAAGAACAAAATCGTAATTTTCGAAATTTTTTCGATTTTACAAAATCATTTCATTCTGTTCTATTGTTTAATTATGGAAAAGGATTTTTAAATCAGAAAAAGTAATACATACAAAAACATTATACAAAAATTATTGAGTTTCGTCGATAGAACAAATGATCCCTTTAAGGAAATTGTGAGCAAAGTTCAAAATTCCAGGCTCTTTTATATCTTTCCCTGACTTTTCCAGACTTTCCCGGTTTTTCAGGTCTGTGGCAACCCTGAATTTACATTACCTGTAGTAAAAAATCCATCTTTATTTGCGTTGCATATTGCAATTGTTGTATTGTCCACGATGTAGATCCATTATACGCTAACAAAACTGCCATTTGGAAAGTCGATGCTTGCAATGTGTATCTGTTCTTAAAACAATTTGTATGTAGCTCTCCCTTAGACATATTATATAGCCAATTTAACTTTCTACCGCTGTGCTGCGAACTATAGAAAGTAGTGAACCTATGTACAGATCTTTCTAGCTGCAAATGAAAATTACGAGTAAGTAATCAGTTAAAGAGTTCAAAAGAATTGTGATTAAACATTTTCGGTATGTCTTTACCTCGGTCGGCAAAGAAAATGTGAATGACTGTTGGAATGGCCATGAACCAGAAGATAAAACTTGTATACTGAAATCTATATCTAAAGGTTCAGCAGAATTTGTCAAATGCCTCCTGAACTGTTCATTTAGATCTTTTGATACACCAATGTCCTGTGAATTATTACAATTATACTGTTGTATTTTCTCAACAGAATGCGTTATCTGTTGATAAAGTTTCAAATAAAATTATATGTACTCTATAGAACATTCCTAAAATAAGGACCAACTTTTTCAAATGTATTTTATAACTTGAGAAAAAAAAATATATATATACATATAAAATGCACACTATATATTTTTTGTATATATGTATATTTGCAAATACTGAGTTAATTTTGCAAAAATATTTTACACTAAAAATATTCAAACCATGAAATTGAATGTTTTTAAAAAGAAACATTTTGATCGTTGAATTAGTATATCAAACAGCTTATTTATTAAAGATAAAAACTAGTTAATTTACTAGTTAATTAGTTAGAGAAAATATATGCAACTATATTATAAAAGTTTAGTAACAATTCAGAACATAAAAAAATAAATAAATTTAAATCAAAGGAATAGGCTTCGAAGAATAAATCAGATATAATGGAGTAAATGTTTATGTAAATCGACACGGGTGTTGGTGTGTATTAATTTTGTTTGTACAATGTCCAACTACAAACTGCGCGCCGCACGGCTTGTCGGTCTTGAATTGAAACATAGTTCTTGTACGAAGCCAAAATCCACTTGCAACGAATTAAATTGACGAAAACAATATCTTTTGATATTGCTAATATGCATCTATAAGAATCCCCTCCCTGTCTTATATGCCTCAAGGGTCGATTGGTAGGACGCAAGCCCGTCCGGCAAGCAATAGAAATGTAAATAGGAAAAAAATCAAATTTTTTTTCCCATAAAATACGTGGTTTTTTTTTTTTAAGAAAAAACATAAGCCTCGTTTTTTTCTCAAAATTTTGTTTTTTTCAGCTATCTATATTTTGCTTAATATAAGTTAATTTTTCATGATTTTTTATTTTATAGATAGTAGATTTAAATTATCATCATTTTAACCTTTACACAGAACGAGAAAGCCAATATATTGATTCTGAAGCATATTTTGAAGCAAGGACTTTAATAAATAATTATAATAAATTCTACTTAAGAAAAAGCTGTTTAGAAAAAGAATTAAAAGATTCTCCTTTTGTAAAAGTTAAATGTAGATCACATTAAAATTAATTTAATAATTACTATTTACAATTAATTATTCGTGCTATCGGAACTGAAAAAAAAAATCAAATTTGTATTTTTTCAATAAAATAAAACACCTTTTCTAATGTTTTTTTTTCTATTAGAAAAAAAAAACGTTTTTTTTTACATCTCTAGATTGCGTTAATCTTACCACTAGTGGATGCGATTGGGCTCAACTCCGATTTCATATCTGGAAACGAAAACATCCTGTCCTTCATCTGTTCCACCGATTGGCCCATGTTCAGTAGAAATATTAGAATGCTTATACGATTCTTCAATGGCTATGTGAAAGAACAAGATTGATATAGGAACATTTAGTTGCGTACAGCAGATATAAAGACATATATGTAATTGAAACAAAGGACTTAAAAAAAGATGTAAATCAGATTAGATTTCGTACCCCATCTTTTAAATCATTATGCAGCTTATCAAATTGCACTGCATCGCGTGGTGATAATTTACTCTTTATATATGTTGCTACAGTCATTTCATCCTCTCTCAATGTTTCTATGCCTTGAGTAGACGACAATAGGCCAAGGGAAAAACGCATGAATCTTCTAACTGACTCTGTAAAATATAAAAAATATATTACAACTTGTGCGTCGCACAGTCTTATGATGTTATTATATACATTGTGTAATATTTGCAAATTTATATGCTGCTACGACTTATTGTTTATATTATATACAAATGTATATATTTAAATGCCATAGAAAAATCTGAGAAATGCTGTTAAAGTGACTGAATTGTGGCAGTAATGAGGCACTGTTCTGTATGTCTGAATTGGTCTGAAAAGATTATCACCATTCATACATAGATTTAAACTTGTATACGATTTAAAGAGCGGCCTAAAGTGATTTAAAGTGAGCCACCTTGCTGAAGCTAGTTAATTCTCGAGACACTTTACATCTGTCATCCAACATACCTTGTTAAATTAAACACAAATGATCAAATTTTTTTGAACAAACTTGACTTATTAGAGCACATAAATAACTCAAATTAATTAAATTTCATCATGAAAGTCCATCAGGAATTCCTGCACCAATTTTTTTTTTAACTTTTGTCACTATATTAAAAATAATTATATATCTTTTTTGAAAAGTCTCGTCGTAATGTAAACAATGCTTTAGTATAGAAATACGAGGCATTGATAGCATTTAGTTGCACTGCATTAAAAATGAATATGATAGCGTTGCGATTAATTCGAATAATAAAACGATAACTTTTTCCGAACGTAAATTTCCCGGCGATGCTGTGCAGCTTCAGAAAAACTAACCTGGTCTTTGTTCGCCACATAGAGAAATAATCATATTCTGAACCAGATCGGCAATAGTTTCAGCTTCCGTGGAATTCATATTCGTATCACGTGAGGTTCTCTATAATCCTGCTCGATGTTGTATCATATATGAATGTAATATATTTATTCTTTGCAAATTATTGTTTAAGCATTCACACACACTGCCTTTGCACCGAACTTTAATCAATTTTAATCGAGCGGCAAACAAACACGTATGTGTACACATGTACGACTGACATCAGCGACATCTCTTTTTATTGTCCTCAAGTATAGTGGGAAGCTCGAGAGAGAATCACTTTTATTATATGAAATCTGTTTTTACTTTTTACACCATTTTTATTCACTTATTTATAAAGCATTTATATAATAAAAATCATTATTTTAATAATAAATTATTCAAATAAATCGCAAATTTATGTCAAAAGTCGATAACATCGACACTCTGCAATTACCTCCGGGCCCTTTGGCTGGCACGAAAATTTGCCCAGGCAGGGCTTTTTAGCAGGGTTGTGCATCTACGCGTAAAATATAATGCTCTACGTTTACGTGTAAACAACGTAAACTATTGTAAAAGTGTCATCTATGTAGACAGTCAGTAGACTATATATTTATTCATTTAATAAATATATATAATTTAACATTTATGTAAAAAACTACTATTTGAGTAAGAAAAATTCTCTGGCATTTTTAATCTTAATCTCGTA